TAAAAGACGTAATAAATTGCCAAAACAATAGTGGGAGTGATCCCGGACTCGGTAATAGCTTAATGAAGTGCCTGCCCTCGGTCTCGGGCTCACAGTAATGGAGAACTTGATGAACAAAAGTAAGAACAGAGAAAAATAATACTAGTATATTGCCTTGATATGCGTGTTACAAGAAAAAAGTCTAATGAATAGTTAGACTCCCCGTTATATAGTAGGAAAATTTTACCCTAAGTACAATTCTACAAAAAATAAAAATCTTCCGTTTTTCTAACTACCGATTTGCTGCCGAGATTCACGCCGTGACACCCGGCTAGGCATGGATATCACGGCCCTTTGTTAGTCGTGCTCGATTATCTTGTAATGCTCCCCGAAATTTTGGGGGGACGTGGCCCCGATTCTTTCGAGAGGGCAGGTGTTTTGCCCGGACCCGACTCGAGGGGCTCTGACTCCGATTCCTTACGGTCACGTCACTGCCAATGTATCTCAATATCCATAATATCTGTGATATTTAATTATTTACACAACTAAGGAAATAAGGAAAAGAAGATAGGTAATAGTGCGGCGACTAAGGTTTTTTTTTGGTCTTTGAGAGAGATCAAGAATTGCAGAGTTTTGTGCAAAGTGTGTGAGTCTAATTGGTTCTTTTGTGCAGTGCGGCGACTAGTGAAGAAATTGCGTTGTTGTTGTCGTTGATTGGGTCTGAGGTTTTGTTTTTGAGTATTGATTGCCAAATTGATCTTTTTGCTACATGGCTGCCAATTATTCTTCCAATTTGTCATTTCCCTTTACTCAATAGGTAGGCCTCTTCTCGGAAGCGGAGCTAGAGAGCGAGTTACGGGTTCAGCCGAACCCAATAATTTTGGTTCAAATTCTATATTTATTTATTGAAATATATTAAATATGTACAAATTATTAATTTAAAACTCAATTACTTAAAATAATTAGAATTTCAAACCCATAAACTTCAAATCGTGGCTCCGTCTCTGCCTCTTCTTCTTTTAATTCTTATATACAACTAGGCATCGAAGATCTTATAGAATTGACAAGGTTTAGTAATTGTATTAAGCATTTGATCAATTCTCACGATTATATGTTTACGATCTGTTTTTCTTTTTCCCTTCATCATCATTTATGTGCAAGTAAGTTATTAATGTTAATTATTGTTAAACTGGTGGGCTGAGCTAGGAATGCAAAGGGATTCTTCCGAACTCATTCACCGAAAATTACACTGGCTGAAATTATCTTTTTATGTATATATAGCAAATATTGAATACAAAAGTAGACCCAAGATTTTAAGATGGTTGGGGCACAGAAGCGAACTGCTCAACTAATGCCCCCATCGAACTTTTGAACTAAAGGGGTTCAAGCAAAATATATGACCGTTTTTAACATATATACACTTATATATTCAAAATTTTAGTTGAAGTTAACGGGGTCCGTTAACACCTCTTCTCTAAGCATAGGTCCGCCTTTAATTGAATACACTAATTAGCTTCTTTGTGCTTATTTATTTATGTTTGGAATTCCCTTAATAAAAACCCTAGCTTCATTGGTGATTGTTCAACTCAATTTGAACCACAAAAGGAAATTGTGGCGTCCATCTTTCATTGACTCATTTGCTTTCGAGCAGACATCAACTCATTATTAAGAAATTAACCAAAACAAGAAGAAAAAAAAAAGAAAAAAAAAAAGAGTGTCAATCCCATCATCTTTAAAAGGCATCACGTCGCGATACAATTGTAGATATATAGTATTTTACCTTCTTGAACACTAGCAGAGTCAGAATTTTTATTAAATGGAGTTAAAAGTTAAAAAAATAAATGAGATTTAACATATAATATAATATACATAACAAAAAAAAATTACTTAAATGGAGTCAAAGAATTTGAGGGTTGAGACGTCTAGGTCACCAATTGTTAGGTGTTTGCCATAATTTTATTACCATATTTGGTTTTCCTATCTCTTGAAGGAAAACAGCAATATAATTACCTTAATTGGGTTTTCTTTTTTGTAAAAGGAAATTATAAATCTCCAATATTTGGCTAGTCCTTTTTCTTGTAGGAAAAGGTTTGGACTTCTATAAATTGAGGATCATTCCTTCTCATTCAGTAGCATCCACAATGTAGCTATTTGGGGTTTGAGAGTCGTGTTTAGGGGGAGAACTTTACAGGACAAGTGTTAGTGTGTCACTTGTGTTTGCCTCTTCATGAAGTTGTTCTCTCGATATTTTGTACTCTCTTTTTATATAGTGGATTGCTCATCTCCGCCGTGGACGTAGGTCAGTTGACCGAACCACGTTATATGTTTGTGTCTCTTTTGGTATTTTTCTTTTGTTGATGGATATATCGTCGTTCAAGGTTTGCTTTACTAGCTTCCACATGATACCTGATTTTTTCGGTCCTAACACCAATTACTCTTACTTTAGAGAGTAAAAGAATTTTCTATCATGGAGAGTTCAACAAGGCCAAGATCCTGATGGATATTTCAAGGAAAATCGAAGAAGATAAATGAAATTTTATACCTACCCCTAGCTGGCAAACCGCTCCTTCAAACAAATGAAAGAATAATAAAAAATAAAAAAAATTATATTGGATTTTTTTGTTGATATGTCTTCTTTTATCTTGTTAGTCTTACTAATTTTTCAGAAGCATCTGTCTACGAAAAATATGTACTTTCATAGAGGCAAGTCAAATTTCAGAAGACTGAGAAATTTAAATACACTTCAACTGTTATGAAGTTAAACTCAAATTATAATTAATTAACTTAACAAGCATCTTTCAACAAACAAAAAGAAAAAAAAGGAGAATTTCAACTATAATTAAGAGGACAGGTTTGGAAAAAGCACTCTTGGTAAGAATTTATCTCCTCATAAATTTTGGTACATCAACTTCATTTTAGATTTTTGAAATTCAAATAATATTAAAATTGTAGAATAATCATTGATGAAATTGGCGAGTGTCTAATTTACCTACAAGATTTTACACCTACAGGGAGTAATATTTAGTGTCAATTAAGAATATTTTTTTTCCTTAAATATCTGATAGATTTTCATGGTCTTTCTCTTTGATAACGATCATATAACAATCTACGACAAAATAATACAAGTATTTTAAGCAGTTTAAAGTTCCAGTTTATTCCAACTCTTTTCTTCAACTCAACTGTGAGTTCAATATCAAGTTGATATGTCTCAATTTATTCAATTTGTACTAAAGTTAGGATTTTAAGTTATTCATACAAATCTTAATTAATTTTAGTTTCAATCTAGGTTTAATTACTCAAACAACTGGGGATCTTTCTCGTTAGCAAATTAGAAAGACTATTCAATATTTGTATTTTAGGAACTTTACGAAATTGTTAAGAGCCAAAGAGTTTTTTTGATAAATACACTAATTCATTCGTGTCAAAATAAATAAGATAAACGTATAGACCCAATAATTTGTTTGAAAAAGAAAAAAAAATGTGAATCTGTTTCAAACAAGCTAAAGGTGAATAGGTAATGATGAATTACCATTCAATTTCTTCAGGTATATTATTCTTTTGACTATTCTTCAGGTATATTATACTTTTGACTATAAGCATAAGATAATATATAATATACTGTTTAGAAAAGGTGATAGTATCATAAAGGGTTTGAGTGTCAAAGTCGTTTGAAAATAGTGACAAACTAGTTACCTAATTGTCTCCGAGGAAAGTATGAGCAAGGGATTGAAACCGAAGTCGAAAATTTTGGTATTTAGTATTCAATATTTTGAATTAGTACAATATTAGGCTGAAAATTTAAAAAAAAATGATATTAGATATTGTATTTGATATTTACAAAAATAATACCGAAAGATCAATACCACACCAAAATATATAATAAGTTACACAAATACACATATTATTGATATTGGAGGAACAAAGTAGACCGCAGATTTTGACTCTTATTTTCTAGGATGTCAAGCATCTTACCGTAATACTTTTACGGTGTTAGAGTGTTTCTTGTCGTGTATTGAATTGCATTTGTTGGATTACTCCTTGTATTCTCTAACTTCAACAATTAGCTCCAGACATTTTCAATGATTAAATTTACTCCTTTATGTACCTTTTTTCTCTCTATAGGTTGATACTTGCTGGTTTTGAATAAAAATTTTGTCAATAATCATATGAGCTTAAAACGTTTTTATTTTTATATTTGTGAATACTTTAATTAAGAATATTAAAAGTCTATGACTTTATCCACTAGTTAATAAGTTATCATACCGAATAAACCGAAACGAAAGAAGAAAAACCGAACCATACTAAATATAATTAGGTACGTATTGGTATCACATTATAAGAAACCGAATACCGAAAATACCGAATCGAAATGTCTAAATATCATACCATACCGACCGACGAACACCCCTAGTTTTAAGTGAGCATGTAACTCTGCCTTTTTCTGTTCTTTCGAAGCTGCTTCTCTCCTTTCCTGTTTTAGTGTTTTGCTGTACATTTAAATGTGTTAAGCATCGTGGGAGGGCTTAGAACAGGTAAAACCTCTCACTACGATAAGAGTGTTGAGACCATAACATGCTACTCGAAATCACTGCTTTCTCTCAACACTGGCATAAATTAATAAATTAATTCTTACCATAATTTAAATATCAGTGAATTACGTCAATAAATGATCTAAGCTCTTTTTCACCCTTTATAGTAACATATGTATTTAAGGATAACACATTAATTCAACAGCTTGAAATAACCAAACACTAGAAAATAAGCTCATTTAAAGAAGATTTTATTCGTAAATGTTCTACATGGGCTAGTTACATTTCTCTCTAATCTGCTGTACTTAACAAGGCAAGAAACTTGGGTTCAACAGGGTCCACGAAAACAGGTCAGAAAAGGAACAGTTGGATCAAGTCATGGATGAGTTTCCTAAAGAAGTGCATTCAACACTAACTGATAATAGCATTACCTCCTCTCTTCCCAAATGTTTCACTTTTCACTTCACGAGTCAAACCAATGTGATGTTTAACTAACAATTCAAAATGTTTAATTTGAATAAAACGACGAGATGCAGATCAAAACACTAATTCATGTGCCAGCGACAACATACAGAGAAGTCCCAAATTTAATTTAGTACCACCAGGACCAAGATATTCAAAAGGGTACTGAATAGAGGCAAACAAGAACATTATTATTTACATCAAGAAATTGTATTTCATAATTCAGTAACTCACCCATCGTTGTCTGCAGTGGTCATAACATCCCTGATAGCTACTGAATTCCGTGAGACCTTTAACAAATTAAGAACATCAAAACTTCTGTCTCTGACGAGCCAACTAATATGAGCTCAGCTTCAAATTTAAGTTCTTTATCACACTCTGCCAGCTTGTCACAAATGGCTATTACTGTTGGAAAGGATTTGGAAAAAGCAAAATTCATGGAAGAATAACAGTGCCTATTTTTCACCCAAAGAAGGGGAACAAATACTAAGCTCTGAGTTTTGGAGAGGCAAAGGAGATCTCGTTCTGAAACAGCCCTTTCACTTTCGTGCTCGATAATTTAAAAGAAAGCCAGTGCTAGTAGTCCAAAATGGTAAAATCATATCGTTTTATCTGGAACGAGGAAATACCATGTTGGATACTCAAACTTTTAATTAGGATCTGATGTTCGAACTCCATGCCTTTTGAAATACTCACGAAATCCATAAGCACTGAGATCATAGTTGAACTGAAATTAAAAGTAGTTTAATAATCAGAACCACTTCAAACACAAGACAAGGACTCTCAAACTCTTGTTTATACACAGGTTTCCACCAGTTCTTAATCTGTTATCCATGACATAGCTCACTCAGATATAGTATGATCAGTGGAAATCAGGTAGAAAAGTAAGATTACCAGGGTAGACAACCTATCCAGCCGATGCATGTAGGGGCGAATCTACGTTAGGCAAAGTGGTGTCACTCGACGCCGCTTCGTCAGAAATCTTTACTAAATATATATAATGTTTTCATATAGAATATACAAATTTGCTATATATAAAGTACGCGACACACTACCCTCCCCAGACCCCAATTGTGGGATTTCACTGGGTCGTTGTTGTTGTTGTTGTAAAGTAAGCGACACCGCCGGACAGCAAGTGCATGACTCATGGCCTGCTGGTCAAGCACCCAATTGTGCACACGAAAGTCCAAGGTTCTAAACTGCATTGCAGGCGACAGAAGTGGTTTTAAAGTTTTTAAGCCTCTTCTGTTAAAACGTAAAGCCCCATTTGTATTTAAAAGTAGAGGCTGTAAAGATTCAAACAACAGACCGCATTTTCATCGGTAATAATCGACAAAACCAATGAGTCAAAGCTCTTCTTGGTCGCAGAAATGGTAAGGTTTAGCAGACATCTTGAGTTGCAACCAGAGGCGGATCCAGGATTTAAAGGTTGCAGGTGCCATATTATTTTGAACATAGACGTATTGTTATTTATACGGTACAAATAGAGTAAGTATTTAGTCGGTTTGATCAGCTTTGAACTTCCGCTCGAATTATTTGTCTTACGATTTATACAATCAAATCAATTAAGCGAAAAAATTAATCGTGACAACTTGTCGCGATGAGAGTTTTTGTTCTGATGGGAGAGAGAACTGAGAAGATCTTCAGAAGAAGGAAACTAATTATATATATATATATATATATAGTATACACACACACACACACACATATATATATATAGGCTAGTCGACTTTTTTTATCCTTTAAAAATAAATTTTATACTGTATAAAATTGTCATCAATTTCTTTTTAATAGTTAGAACTTTAAAATTAACTAAAAGTATGGTTGTTAACTCTTTTTTTATTTATTTGAGGTATGTAGAAAGTCCTAATATTTAGGACTTTAAATTCCAATAAGCTTACATAAATTATTTTCTTATTTAAGCTATGTAATATAGCTATAATATTTCGCATGCTCATTATCCTAATATTTATGTTATAATTCTAAGAGAATAAAATGAATTGACAATAACGAAGAATCATGAACTACCAGATACAGTGATACTCCTACTAATAATTATGAAGGTGTCCTTGATTAACCCAAATACAATTTTAAAAAAAAAAAAAAAGAAATTATAATTTTAAGATACTTTCATAGTTGTAGTCAAACTATCCTAGACATCAAACCTGTTGTGGCTATGCTGTCTATCTCATGTAGCAAGCGAAAACAGATAAAAAATGTAGCTAAGTGAGGTTCGATCCCGCGCCCTGAAGGCGGAAACTATCGGCCTCTACCACTCGCACCTTAGTACCATTTGTTATTCCGGGTGGCAACTTTTTATTTATCATATTTCTTGCATATATATATATAATTTTTACCGAAGCTTGCGGGTGGCGTACCACCCCCTCGGGCCTTAATAGATCCACCCCTGGTTGCAACATAGGCTCGTTCCCGACAACATATCTTGGGTTGCCTCTGGGTGCCAAACATAAGAACACTATAGTGTGGCAGGGAGTTGTCGAAAATTTTAAGAAGAGGCTAGCTACCTGGCAGACTCAGCACCTATCTTTTGGGGGCAAAGTTGCATTGATTAATAGTGTGTTGGATAGTATTCCAACATATTTTATGTCCCTATTCCCTATTCCATGCAAGGTTTTGCCACAGTTCGACAGAATAAGGAGAAGATTTTTGTGGGAGGGCAACAGTAATCAGCATAAATTTCATTTGGTGAGATGGAACAAAGTCACTATGCCTAAGGAAATGGGAGGAAGGGGCATCAGAAATTTACAGTTACATAATAAAAGCCTACTCATGAAGTGGTTATGGAGGTACAGCAATGACGAGAGGGCTTTATGGAGAAGAGTTGTAAAAGTTAAGCATGGAGCAGATACACATTGGCACTCTAGAATAACTTCCACCACTCATGGAGTAGGGTCTTGGAAACACATAAGTAAATTATGGCAGGAATTCAAGGAAAACACTCTGATACAGGTTGGCAATGGAGAGCACACTATGTTTTGGCTTGATAAGTGGACTGGAAATAGGTCCTTAAAGGAGGAACTCCCAAATGGCTTCAGCTTTATTAATAACCCTAATGCTACTGTGAAACAGCTTAGGGAAAATGACAACTGGAATGTCACTTCCAGAAGACAATGCCATGATTGGGAAATTGAAGAGATGCTGGAATCTTGGGCAAGGCTGCAAGATCTTAAGGTGCATATGCAGGAAAAGGACAGTATAATATGGGGCAGTAGAATTGCTATGTAGAATTGTAGAGATGATAGGCAGAGGCAACATCATTGAAGAATGGCCTTGGAAGCTTGTATGGAGAACAAAAATACCTACTAAAGTGGCCTGCTTTAGCTGGTTGGCAGTATTAGGTGCAATTTTAACAGAAGATGGTCTTCAAAAGAGAGGATTTCCTCTATGCAACAGATGCTATATGTGTGAACAAAATACTGAGAGTGTAGATCACATGTTTGTGCATTGTACAGCGGCTAGAAGTATATGGGTTTTATTCAGCAATAGTTTTGGTTTAAGTTCGGTACTGCCGAAAACTTTAAAGGAATTTTTTGTCATTTGGAGCAGTTGTGGAGTTGATAAGTCTATCAGAAGCACTTGGAAGATAATTCCCCAATGTGTAATCTGGACCATCTGGATGGAGAGGAATCAAAGATGCTTTGAAGGAAGATCAACTCCCATACATACACTAAAAGCTAGATGTTTACCAAATCTTTTGGCTTGGAGTAACCATTTTGATGCAAATAGCTCATTAGATCTATTAGATTTTGTAAGCTCCGAGCAGATAGGAGGTTTTTGCTTATCAGGAGAATTGACATTTTTGTAATCATTACATTCTCTAGATGATTGATTTAATGAAAGCTTACCTTACTTGATCAAAAAAGAATAATTTTATAGTATAAAAATAATTTTTTCGCACAATTAACTTGAGTTGATTTAGAACCCTAATGTTATTATAGTGGCTCGTTCATTTGGTCACTTCTTTAAATATTCGACACCGCTTGGAAAAATTCTGCTTACGCCCGTGGATGCGTGATGAAGCAACCGATGGATATGGAGAAGGTGGCACAAATAAGTTTTGTGAACCCGACACTAGACATTTTAAAATAACTAGTAACAAGTATGCACTCAATAGTAACAGCAACAATGACCACTCTTCTTGCAATAGGTAATATCGCAATGAGAACATGCATGGAAATGCAGGAGAAGAAAAGCGACAGTTGGACCAATTGGCAATAGAGGACTTAGCTATGCCCGAGCTAAGTTTTGGTTTGTATAGCTAAGAGTGTAGCCTAGTGGTCAATGAAGTGGATTGTGAACCATGAGGTCTCAAGGTTCCAATTCTGTGGATGCAAAAACACTAGGTGATTTCTTCCCGTCTGTCCAAGCCTTGGTCACAAAATTACGTACCTGTGCTGGTGGGAGGTAGCCGGTATCACATGGAATTAGCCGATGTGCGAGTAAGTTGGCGAACAATAAAAGATTTTTTTTTTTCATCTAAAAAAAAGTTGGTCATGGGTATCCAGTGGCTCTGTCAATAGGTGAATTTGGAAAAGCAACTAATATATTTTGTTATTTAACGTTTTACTTTGTCACTTTTATAGGAGTTGAATATCTGCTAGAATAAATGCAAGAAGGAATTACCAATCAAAATAAATAAATAAATAAATGCAAGTAGTTTTTTTTTTTGCTTAGCCACCTTTGTAGGACTTAAATTTCTGCTATAAATTTAAGTAACTGTTGATATAGCCGCAATGAATCTGATGACAAGTAAAGACATCCACAACAACTCTAGAATGCCAGTACCTAGCAATAACTCCCTAAGATGAAGAAAAAGAACAAGGCCGACTCTATAAACCATAAGGTAAGGTTTAAGACAGTGCTAACAACTCTGCTCAGTATGTGCTGATAGCTTATGGTAGTCACAATAGCTAACTTTTCAAGAGCAAGCACCATCACAAGCTAATGAAACAAATGATAGTAACTATAATTTCATGGTAGACATTGAAAAAATCTAACTTATGATAATATGTTTTACAAAAAAATCAAGGATAAAAACAATAAAAATTAAAAACTTACAGGTAAAACCTTGACAGCGTATTTGGTAATATTAGGATCAGCAACCCTTCCCTGAGCAGCTGCCTGGTAGAGAGCAAATCATAATCACTCAATTGACGACAAAAGTATAGAAAGAAATTTATGCTATCTGAAGCCACAAAGCTAACAAACATCGAAGCGGCGAGCCTCCGGTATTTACAAACCATGAGAAACATCAAAGAATGTCGCAGAGAAACATCCAATACACATGGAGAGAAAATAATAGTCTAAAATAATGCACAATTAATTTAAAACGGGGAAACAAAAAAAGGAGAAGAAATAAAAGAAATCACACTACCATTTCTGGATATAATTGAAAAGTCGACCACTCATAGTAAACGGTTAAGTATACCCCACACAAAATTCCAGCGACTCAAATTCGTTAAACAAGTTTCCCTACCAAAAAACCTAATGATCAATTCAATCATGTATTCTATGATACAGACATAAGATGAAGCTCTTAATCTTTTGTGCCCAATCAAACTAAGAAACATAAAAAGGATAAAGTGAGTAATTTTTTTATGCCGTGAAACTACAGACCAAAAAAAAAAAAAAGAGCAATCAATACATACTTGCAATTCTGTTTCAGATTATTAAGACTATTCCTTAGATAGAACAGAGAGGGAGGAGGGAATATGAGAATAACTACTGGAACTTCATGGCAATAACCTGCACAGGGAAGGCTGCTTTTAGCTCATCTTATGCTGCCTGTAGCTGGAGTTGGTAGATACAAGCTTTTAGTTTTAGGTTGGTTCGTTGTGCTTCAGCTAAGTTGCTTCTGAGGTCAAGAACATCATTGTTCTCAGCTAAGTTGCTTGGACACGGGTGCGGATCTAGAGGTCGGATCCTCGAGATTTAAATTCTAAAATTCGGGATATGGATCCTAATATGTATACGGGTGCAGGGATCCGGCTAAAAATAATTCAAAAAAATAGAAGTATAAAAATATCTCTAAATTATGAGAAATTTTGTGGAATACTTACGTATAGCTTGTAAAAGGTGGATTTCTTTTTTGTTCTCAAGTTTTAGATAAATAAAGGATTGATTTCCTAGATAAGGTATGCTATTTTCTTCAAATTTACCCTAGTTTTGATTCTGATTACGGGAATCAAATTGTATCTCGTCTCAAATTTTTTCGTCCATCGTGGTCAAAGTACCCAAAATTGTTTGAGCATATCCGGTAGGGATCCCATATCCACACCCATACTAGTGTCGTGTCGACACGGGTGCGGCACCTAAACTGCCATGTCGGATTAGACACAACAAAAGCCGACCTCTTTAAATGCTGCAGAATTCTGCATAACATAAGACATGTTTGCACCTCTTAACATTCTAACAAGTCAAGCCTTCACTGCATGCAGCATAAACAACATATGACAACCTATCATACTTCCACTACACACAAGTACAGAAGAATAAATCTACTCCCTCTCTTCACCCACAGTATTCGATATAGCCTGATACTATGCTCTATAAGTTACCCAGCACAAGGTCAATCACAAAGTAAATCTAGTAAATTCTCCCTATTGTAACATAGTGTACTTTAGCTATGCAAACCTCTCCTTCATCATGTACTTAGTTCTGAGAGACGTAAATCCGTCTGCTGCAGTTTGTACCTTTTTCACAAATTTCTTGTAAGGAATAAGTTTGTTTATAAAAAATACAACATCTCCCTTCAGTCAGTAGGCCAAATTTGAGCGCACTGATGAGGAAAGGAACCAAGATATAATCAGATTAAGGCAGTAATTTTCTATCAGATTGTAGAAAATGCATCTTATTCTCTACAACTCTCTATTAAGGCACTCATAAGCCACTTTAGTATAAACATATAATGCCATGACTCTACAGAAGTACCTGTTCTGGACTATGAAATATCTCTACAAATGGATATTCCTTTTGTTGTCTTGTTATGCAAAACCCAGGGTACTTCGGGCATTCGACCTGAAAAATACAAAATATAATGAAAACGTGCACAATGTTATGTATAAGCTGGGAAAACATCTTTATGCTATCAAAATTAGAAACAATGAGGCCTTTTGCATATCCCCAAGAGAGGTAATAAACTCATAGATGACCACAGTACAGACGCCTCAAAAGTTTTGCAGTAAACTAGCATTATATTCTATCTATACTCAAATGAGAGGTCCACGAAGTATCTTACACGTAAAAATTTTACATGTGGATAAAATTCAGCTGCAGACTCCTCTAGCACTTTGTCAAGATGTTTGGTGTAGTTACTCCTAAAGTAGCCAAAAATTTACATGAAAGATATTAATGCGATAAAACTACATAAGACAGGAGAGAAGACAGGAGAGCAGGGAAAAGAAATTACAAACTTTTATTACTTGATTGTAAATGCAACAACTACAGGGTAGCCTTGATGAAGAAGTTGGACAAATTCCCGTTCTGAGGTAAAGTGAATAACCCTCGATGGTCCAAGATCCTTAGGATAGCCTGTATAATACCTTCAAATACCAAAGACAAAGTTAACCCAGCATAAAATAACATCCAATTAAAAATAAAGCAAATGCAGCATGCGAAGGCCCAAACAATTTCTCTCCCTGCACCGCTAACACCGAGCAGCATGTCACCGCAGCAAAGCTAGCAACATTATGCAGACTACTAGACAGAGAAAGACTATCCGCCAAAAATTAACCAAGGAATAAGTGAAAGTAAACTCCCTGCCCAACCACATAAAAACGTATGCATATAATGCACTTGAGGAGCGGGTGCACAATATAAAATATGTACAACTATTAAATTTCGAACCAAGTAGCTTAAACCGCCAGTGGGTTCAGTGGCATCCCGAACTCATAAAGTTTAAATCTTGTATCCGCCTCTGATGCACTTATATCACCAATGATACTTCGTCTGTTGGCTAGTTGTCTAAGTTGGAGGTGCTGACCACAGTTTCACATCCCATCAATTACAGATTTATCACCATATTATATGCCGTTGTTCTCACTACTAGTATGCAATTGAGTTTAAGTTGTATGCACTGACATTTTAAAAAACATTTACACAATCAGATCACTTATAAGGTGATCCCAGGTAAATCTCATGATAAGCATCAACTGGTAATCTAATCTGGTAAAAATGGTAAATAACATGCTATCACACGTTAAAATTTTCTGTTAGTATAAAAAGTTCTTTACACTGTCAGCGCACATAACTTAAATCCATTAAAATTTAAAACATATACAAAAAGAGAAGGAAAAAAAACTTACTTGCAATTGGAACGAAGGTTGATAAGGAACTTGTTAAAGAATGATTGCTCCTCCATAGCGATATCCAAACCCTAATAGAAAAAACCACCAAAAATATAACAAGTGCACATGTTAATTCATCGAGCAAGCAACACTAAGAAAACAAAAATAAAAATACATTCAATTTATCTTAATTTGATGAATTAGAGACTAATAACTATAATAAGCAATTCCATTGAATACTAATACTTGGAAACTTTTGAAATTGCTGTTAGATATAAAGTTCAAGCACAGAGTTAATGGTCATGGTACTTACGGTGCTTTTGGGTGTAAGAGGCGGCGAAGAAGGTTGTGACGGTGGTCAGGGCGGAGGCAAAACCGCTTTGTCGAAAAAACCAGTTTAATATGTACCGACTAATTTGCAAATACAACTATTAAGAATAAAAACAAATGACACTATCTAATTTATAGACATCGTTGGCTTATTGGTAAAGCGCTTTAAAATTTTGTTGAGAGGTCAAGGGATCGAATCACTCATCTGATTCGAATTCTGCTATGCCGGTGCTCAAAACAAGGACGCATTGTTGATGTTATCATTGTTCATGTTGGGCTGACTCCTTTTTTTTAGGCAAGAGGACCCGACCCGATTGGCTCTCTTTCTGGTTTGGCGGAAAGGTAAAAAGCACTACATTTTTCTTCACGCTTGCTTTTACATTTTTGGGCTTTCTTCTCGAAAAATATTAAAGACAACAAGGATTGAACCCCCGACTCCTTACCCAAAACGTAATGTTGAACCTTGCACTCCAATATTTTGGCGACAAATAATTTATTATTTTAGGAATTGGATTATTCAAGCAACCCGTAAACTCTAATTTTGAAAAAATTCAGCGAGCAGAATAGTGGATGTGTATTTGAATTATGTTTTTTTAATTATAAATATAATGTGGTTGTGTAATTTATTCATTTATTTACTTTTTTTTAAATGTCGACGCCACTTAGGAAACACACTGCGTACACCCCTAACGATGAGTGTGTATTTGAATTATATTTTTTTAATTATAAATATGATGTTGTTGCCATGATTTATTTATTTATTTACTTTTTTACATATCTGACATCGCTTATGCCCCTAACGATGGTTACATGGCGGAGAATGGCGGACAGGCGAGAGAAATGACGATGGCCTAAAGGAGGAGACTAGCCGACGGCTACGTTGTAGGAAATGAGTTAGAACCAAGGGCACTTATGTCATTAGCTTAATCATAATGGATAGCGGACGAAAAATTTTGAAGAAGAAAAATCAAGGATGGTTTATGCGGGAAATATTTCATATTTTAATATTGCCAAGCAAACGATGCATTAGTTATTCAACGATAACTTTTCTTTTATATGAAATTTTTATTCAAGAATTAGTCATTCTAAACCATGACCAAACATCCCGCAAATCGTGATCTTATAGATAATATAATGGATAATAGTGTGGATAATTCTTTTAATGGAAGAGTTTTATGACCAAGGGGATATTGGTGTAACTGAGAAGAGAGAGACTGAGAATATCTACAAAAGAATTGATGATAATAAACAAATTCAAGATTAAGAATGGAGTTTCCCAATTTAGTAGATGCAAAATTTAAGTACTAAGTATCGAATAATTCTATCTATCAAGGCTTAGGTAGATAGAAAAAAATTATCTAGTATATTTTGCCTCCGTCATATTCTGAAGTTGAAACCTCATGATTCTCAACCCACTTTATTGATCACTAGTCTTACACCGAAGCAGGATTGGACAAATTGTCTGCAACATGCACAGTTGTGGCCATCATCATGCTAAAGAATAGAGAAGTAGAATCACTTTCAAAGGAATGCATCACTGGGCTGTCTGTCATTTTTGACGTCCCATATCCCACTAGTGAAATTATACTGGTTGTTATTGTTGTTGTAGACGTTCCATATCTGAAAATCTATTGGCCTAACTAATCCAGATAGACGTCAAATATTCCTGCTAATGGCTGAGTACACATTTTTCTCTAATTTATTTCAGTACATCAGAAATGCATTTTGTAAGAAGATAGGTATGCGGCCAGCCAAAGTTGCTACATAACCATTCAGTTTATGTGTATTTTGGTCTTCAGCATTATTTTCATTAAATTCAACATTCCTTACCTCTGACGCCCCACAAATTGGTCTACGAAGACTATTTCCCCTCTAGCAATATCATTGGACTTGTTAATATAAAGAACACAAAAAGGAAAGCAAGATCTGCAAAAGAATTGGTTTAGTGGTAATAGCGTAGTGCATGATGTATAAGTTAGGTGCACATCACGAGTTCGGACTCTACCTCGAACAATACCATGTATACGTCGAAATCGGGCTCATCTATTACATGACGGATCGGAACCGAAAACGTGATGGGTTGAAGATCGACCCCCGATTCCATCTAACCAAAGTACGAAGTCAGAACCTACGTCTTGAAGATCTTTGAGCCCGTCACTCTGGAATCGACCCCGACTTCGAATAAGCTCGAGGAAACATTATCGGACCCAATAACGGGAGGCCGGAACATCCGCAACCACTCGGATATCATCTCGGCACGTATCAATGAGAGACCGATTAATTAGTAAATCGTGAGATTTCTTACCTTTTATAGAATTGTACCTAAAGCAGGACTCCCCTACTATATAAAGGGGGTCTTATTCTTTGTAATACACATTGTAACACGCATCCAAAAGCAATACATTGTTGTTATTAGTTCTTATTATCTTATCATTTTGTCCCGGCATCGATTAAGGCACTTTTGACTCGAGTGTGACCAACCTTCAAGGCCAAAATTATCCAACTTGTGTGGTTTGCATTTACCTTTCTATCATTAATTTCAATACTAATCTGATTTCTCAATTTGTATCAAATTATCAAATTAGATCACGTATCTTTAAAACCGCGTATAAATTCAATTGTTATCCAATTTTGAGGATAAACAGCATTAAGTGGAGATAAGTACAGCGAGGAACCCATTATCCATCGAGTTTCGAATCGCTCGCGAGCTAACCCTCAAGGATTTCTCGATTATCAAGGTAAAAAATAATAGTAGACTAACAGACTAGCGGTAAATTACCAAGCCAACTCAGATGACAAGATATGTCTTAGTGGCAAATAATTAAATGCAATAAATTGGAAGCTTTGATTAGCTTATACAAGAGAAGTCAAAAATACAGTAGGGAAGATACAAACCTACCTACCTTCCCTTTTCTAAATCTTAAAAAGGCTTGAGGGCCTATATGCATACATACTAGAAGGGGAATAAAAGGCATTCATTCCCACCATGTTACAACACAGAATTAGCAAAACTTAATATGGGAAGAAACTACCTTCTCCCTTCATACTACTTAACCTTTACATAATTTTCACTTCATACCTTATATATTTGGAGAAACCACATCTAACCATATGCATCTTATTCTCACAGATCCAAAGAATATATAGCAAACGAGATATTTCAACTTTGGATAAAGCAAATGCCGGTGCCTATCGATCATAACCTGCAGCAACAACAGGGATCCTGACTTTGTGCCCTCTGCTGCCTTTCAGTAAAACCTCTCCGAAACTGTACGCTCCTGTTACTGATCGGACAGTGAGTGTTACTGTGAATTTCCTTGACGCGCCATGCCTTAAAGTCATTGCAGGAGGATTAGTTTCAATAGCAATTTCTGGAGCCATTCTTGCTGTTATAACATAAGTTTCTTCCTCAGCAACATTTATCACTGTGCGTGTGACTGTTCGAGTTCCCACAAGATGTGCAACTGCAATTGAGGGTGAGTTGAAATTTGATGGGTGACCAAGGGTGTAGTTGCATGGGGAATGCGTGAAGTTCTTTATCTCATGAGGATCAATTCCGGGCACAGTGCACAAGAACCCCAAATAATCTTGATAACCTAAATTCAATCAAGAAAAAGTTAAAGCTATTACAGCATATTGAAAACTCTTTTATCAAGAGTCAGAATGGATCTCAGGAACAGTGTTTGCATTTGGTATTTAACCCTATATAATGTTACATCGACTACAGAGCTCCAAAAGTTTTGGATAAACTATGTTTTATATAACATTCCTGAGAACCAAAAGAAAAATCATACTCTCGCAAGTACAAAGACAGAATACTATCTCCCATCATACTACAAGTTTCTCTTCTTCTTCTCGTCCAATATAGGTATCTTAAAGGCAGGTTTGGCCACTAAAATTTCTTATAAAATCTACTTTTTTGAATTCTCATTCTCTTTTAGGGGAAGATGTTTAGATAATTCCATAGAGAAGACAAGAGGTACATGTGAACCTACAGAAGAATCACTGCCAGTACATAAAGACGAAAACACATAGCTGAAATGTCAAGTTGGACTTCGACCAACTAAAAATAATGTTAAACAAGAGACAGTATCTTGGATGGCTTGGCCGTTTCCCACGAAGTCTAGAATGGACAAATTATCATAACTCAACAAGTGAATGAGAGAACAGTCATGATTATGTGCTCAAGAATTATTCCAAATTCAAAAGAAAACATGATAGAAGAGAAGAAAATTTAGCAACTAGACCATACAAGTCATGATTATGTGCTCAAGTATTATTCCAAATTCAAAAGAAAACATGATAGAAGAGAAGAAAATTTAGCAACTAGACCATACAAGTCAATTGTATCAAAAGCAATTAGTCAAATAGAAAGTAATTGTTAAAGACAGTAACTGTTATAAATTAGCAACAGGATTATCTTAGTAGTATTTAAATCTGGTTAGACACAATAAGCTATATCAAAAGGAGAGGGGAAAAAGAAGAGAAGATAACCTGCATTAAAAATGAGTCCAGGATCCAGAGCTGCTCTAGGATTAACATGTCCGCTTCCATAGTCAAACGGAGTAGCTGGAACGAGCTTCATGGTCTCAGATCCAGAATATTGTTGCGCTTGAAGTGGTCTCTCTGCTCTATCAATAGTTGATGACGTTGTCATTAATGCTGATTTAATAGCAGCAGGGCTCCAATGAGGGTGGTGCTGCTTGATAAGCGCTGCTATTCCTGCTATATGGGGTGCTGCCATGCTAGTTCCAGAGATCAATGCAAATCCTTCACCTGCTTCAACTAAATGTTTATAAGTATGTGTAATACACTTTTACCATGGTTAACTTATGTCTCTTGCTCATAGCATTTCTTTACCACTATCACTTAAAATCGTTTGATCATTTTAGTTTGAACTTGAAGCCAACCAAATGGACAAAAATGATAAGATCTCTTGGTTTCAGATTATATTTCAAGTCCTAAGCAAGTGGAGCATCAAATTCAGGATACAAGGCATCTATTATATTTCAAAATGGGTAAAAAGGCTCCAAGAAGACACAAACAAAACTGATGGTTCATTGTTTGTGGCTAAGTCCAAAATAGGCCTGAAATTTAAAAAATGACTTTTTTAAACATATAAATCTGCCATCTAATTCTCCTTTAAAATGGTACTACCATCTAACAGGAAAGCACAGACATTGCACATTTACCTATAAACAATAATATGACGGATACATACCACAAAAATTGGCTTCATCTGTCCCATTCGGAGCCCAGGCAGCCCAAATAAGAGAACCAGGAGCCAGTATATCCGGTTTCAGGAGATCGGCATCTTGAAAGCTGTAATCTTTGATATTAGGTCCTCTAGCAGAGAAGATAGCTACTTGAGGTGCAGACTTGTG